CTGCAGGACGCTGATGTTTAACGACCAAAAGATGAATCAGTTAATTCAGACAATAATCTGCAGAATAATGGAAACGATCGTTAGTCGCCGCTGACATTATTTTACGCTACGACCTGCCATCAGACCAAATAAAACAGAACTTTTGGTTGTTAGAAGATGGAGATTGGTGCTAACCCAGAACCAGAGAGCCTTCTGGAGAATCATTATTTCATTAAGTGGAGGAAGTCATTCGGATTCATTTATTTCTTTGGCGAGCTTCAAACATCCGGACAGAACGTGATGACGTCCATTCAGTGGGAGGACGTTTCTGTCTGTCAGGCCAAATGATGCCGTTCCTCCTGCCTCGCCGTGAGAATGGTTTAAAACACAAAGAGAGAGTCTAGTTCGTACGTACGTGTCGTTTTCTTCGCCTTCCTATGAAATAAAGCTGATTTGAATATTAGAAACGTTGCATCTGAAAAGGAAAATAAAAACAGAAAAGCAGCTTCACCTTCATGTCTGTTAGCGCTGCTCATCTGAACCTGCACCTTTCACCAGCGTCTCGCTTTCAGGACGAACACGACTCTGTGCACAGTCCCAGCCTCTTTCTGCTGCCTAATGAGCAGCTGCACTGGAACAAGTGGAGGATAAGTGCTTCACTCAATGGCACCATAACAGTAATTGCTGGGGGTGGCAATGTTATTCATTCACCTTCCCCATCCAGATTTCCAGTTGATTTGCGGCTCTCTCATCATCTTCTCCAACACAGCTCATCGCCGGCATGGAACGGCTCAAAGCTGCTGTTGTGGACGCTGAAGAACACCTGAAACACTCACTCAGCTGTTCATTAGGTGTGGTCATCTGAGAGCTAATAAGATGATGCCTTTCATTAGCTTGCTAATAATGCCTAATGGCTACCGGGGCGATCTCTGGCTGCTGGACTGTCTATTAACATCCAGGAATTAATGACTGCTGTAATTTGAGCTGGACGGCTGTGACTGGTGACAGCTCTCTAACACTGTAATTAAAACCCAGCGGACTGACAGAGGCCCGTGGCGTCCGACTCCTCGGGCAGCAGAAAGCTCTCAGAAGTGGATTCAGTGCTTATTTCTCAATCACATGGAAGCAACTCAATGCACTTCAGCAGGTAGACGTAAACTGAGCATCAGAATCTGGAAGAAGGGGTGAATTAGTGGTTTTGAACGTGGTTGTTGGAGTCAGATGGGCTGCTGTCACCAAGCTGCTGAGGATTTCATGCACAACTATCTCCAGGGTTTACAGAGAAACAGGAAATATCCATTAAGAGGCAGTTCTCTGGGCGAAAACAGAAATGGGTTCCAGATGATAGAAAGGCGACTGTGACTCAGACAACCACTCGGTACAACCTCGTATATGCAGACGTGCAATCAGAGACGTAGACGTGCAGCAGCAGACCAAACCAGGTGCAGCATCTGTCAGCTACAAACAGAAAGCTGCATCACCATTAACATGGTTTCACCAGAATTCAGCATCAGAAGACTGGACCAACGATGAGTCTCGGTTTCTGCTGATCGTCTGGTCAGAATCTGGTGTGAAATGAAAGCATGGCTCGTGGTTAAATGGTGTGGGGGATGTTTTCTTGGCACGCTTTGGGCCCCTTTGCACCAGCTGAGCATGGCTTAAACACCAGAGCCTCCCTGAGCGTTGCTGTCCATCCCTTTATAACCACAGTGGTCCATATTCTGACGACTACCAGAAACAACCTGCTGGAACGTCACAGAGCTCAAATCATCTCAAACTGATTTCTTGAGCATGACAATGAGTTCAATGCTCTCCACAGTCACCAGATATTAATCCAGTAGAGCGGCTTTGGGATGTGGTGGAACGGCAGATTAGCACCGCGGATGTGCAGCCGACAAATCTGCAGCGACTGCATGATGCTTTCTAGGGATGGAGCGATGTGGGTTTTTCACGGCCGATGATTGATAATCAAGAAAGACAGATGACGATCTTCTGAGCTGATATAGATTACATGTAATGTTTTAACAGCCTGTGATAACCAGGATTCCTATCTGAATATGTAAAATAGAAACAGGAGTGATTGAATCAGGACGTTTAATGTGAGATCAGCTGAGACTGATCAGTTTGTCTGCTGCAGCTACATCTGCTGCTCGGCTCTATTTTATTAATATTTTAGTGTTTTATAATTTTTATTGCCCACTAAGGCTCATATCTGAAAGGATTATTAGTTATTGTTTATCAGACACTGTTTCAGGTTCATCTGTGGCTGCCTGCTAACTAACAGCTAGCCGTTAGCGTAGCATTAGCCACTGTGGGAAGAGCTCATTCCTGATGTTTTGGCGATGGCTTGTGTTTTTGTGTTTTTATGTTTTTTCTACAGTTTGTGCAGAGAGAGACATTTCTGAGACCGCAGAGTGACGACAGACAGAGAAGCAGCACGTCTAATTTATCAATAAATTGGTTAAAAACATCCAAAAAAATACTGGTACCAATAATCGGAAAAATGGCAAATATCGGCCACGACATTTGGCCTAATCGTAACGCCTTCATGTCGACATGGACCGAAACCTCTGATCAGTGTTTCCAGCACCTCGTTCAATCTACAGGAAGAAGAATGAAAGGAGCTCCAAGCCGGTGCTGGTGTTCGATATTCACCCAGATTGCCTTTAAACTAATCAGGGATCTTCTGTCGAGAAGCTCCTGCAATGCATGCAAAAATCACCGTACCATATGCACCGGCGCCCCCTCCCCACGCCCTCCCCTCGCCCTCCCCTCACACTCATCTGCGCCAACACAACCTCTTCGCACCCTTGAATTAGGTGCCGGGTGATAATCAGAGCTGGGAAACCTCATTGAGAATCCACATGTGTGTGTGTGTGTGTGTGTGTGTGTGTGTGTGTGTGTGTGTGTGTGTGTGTGTGATGATGAGAGGCTGCTGGCAGATCGTGATGCCCCCCCCGCCCCCCGTTGGCCCTGTAGCAGGTTATCTGAGTGAGGGTGTCACATGTGGCGGGCGGGCGGGAGCGCTGAGGGGACGGCCCTGTCACCACGGCGCTGGGTATTTGTGTGAGGGAGTGCGCCTGTGTTAGCGGATGACTGATTGCACCCCGCCACAACGGCCCCGGCTCCCCCTCCGCTCAGTTCGCCTCACCTCGCCTCGGCCCCCGACCATTAATACTCCTCACTGCCCCTCCCCAGTGTCGCACCGGGGCTCCGCAAACATCCAGCGAGCCGCCACCGTAACCTTGGGCGTCCCCTTTTCAGCAGCCTCTCTATCCCTTCTCTCATTCTTTCCATCTTTCCCCCATCTCTTCCTCCCCACCCTGGCGTGTGGGGGCCTGTGCCTAGCAACGCTGCGAGGGTCTGGGAATATGGATTAAATGTGAGAACGGAAAATACTGTTTGTGTGTTTACACTCCAGTGCCTTGGTCTGCTCAGACAGACAGCACGCCGGCTCAGAGTGCTGACTCCAAATGGAAAAAACAAGGAGTCGGACAACTGGAGCTGCACAAGCGTTTCCCTCCACTGCGTTTGTCTAACGCTGCTGTAAGCGCCGCGCTGCAGGAGCGCGCTCAGTGCATGTGGCACGAGAAACCTGGAGAGGAAGAAAGTGGCGGCTAAAGCGGGAGTAAGTGCTAAGTAGGTGAGAGGTGATCTTCACTCCCACATAACTTACAAGGTCTCCTTGCTGCTGGCGCGATTCGAGCACGACGTAAATTCAGACACGAGCGTGCTGACCGCGGCTATCTTATTAGCAATGGATCAGTCACGCACATGTAGGCATGTAATTAACTGAGAAAAGAGGGGAGGGCACCACGCGGGGGAGGGAGGGAGACGAGGCGAGGTTGATTTATTATCCCATCACCTTGACCTTGGTGACTTGGAGATGCAGCTCAATTAAGCCAACTTGGCCTTGCATGCCTCACACTGATCCACTCCTAAATGATCTATCCGTCCCCTCCTGCTTCTTCATCACTCCCCGTCTCTGCTTCACTCCCTGCTTCTAATTACATCCACTACATGGAGCACAAAGGGATGTGATGCCAACTGCAAGTGCAACCTAAAACACAAGAATCCTAAAAGTGCAGATAATATAATGAATGTGAGAGAAAGCTGATGTGCTCTTTTTGACTCGTAGCGGCACACGGGTCGCCTCAGTCAGCTCTGATGAACATCTCAGAGGTTGTTGTGACTGCAGCCACTCACACGTGTCAGAGCACCAAATCAATAGTCACCAGAAGGCGAATGGAAAAAGAGAGAAATGTGTCCTTCAAGCTGCGCCGGCGAGGGTCACAACACTCTCCACTCCCCGCTAAAAAGGGAGCTTTGAAGATATGATGATGATGATGATGATGGGGGGGGGGCAATACGACATTAAAGGTCAGAACGGTTTGGTGGTTATTCCACCATCGGCAGTAGGGTGCTGCTGCAGAGGCTCTGACCTTTAAAAAACGCCCTGGTCTTGATCATTTCCTCTATTTCTAATGAATAATCCCTTTGAAAAATCTGCTTTGTGAGAGACCTCCTGGTGCCAGCCTGAAGCTCCAGGAGGCTCCTGTCGTTAGCTGTAGGGATTCATTGTTTTGCTTCACAGACACCTTAATACAGTGGATGATCGCCAGTGTGTGGGCTTTTTTAAAAAAAAAAAAATTTTTATTTGGCAAAACAGCCTTTATTCTTGGAGGCTGTTTATTGATCGAAGCTGAAAGAGCCAAAAGAAATCAGAGAATCCAAGCACGAGGAGCGTTTTGTGATTCACCGCCTCTTCAAACCCATGAATCCTCCTTAAATCTGGCATTTTAAGTACAAAATGAAGCTCAAATATGATCTAAAATGCAATAAAAATATATATTTTCTGGAGAATTTGGACGTTTACAGCTGTTGTGGTATTCCAGTAAAAAAAAAAAAAAGCAGAGACAAGTGACCCCGTCCACTGGGAGCTTATTGATTATCTGCCGTTGTCAGTCTTTGCTGCTCTTCGGTTTTTGTGGACTTTACTACCAAGGGTACCGCAATCATACCTGCGAAGGCTTTGGAGATGTGGTCCTTCTTCCACTCCCAGGGCTGGTCGTACTCGTCGGCCGGTCTCTCGTCGTCTTGCGGCAGCCTGCTGCTCTCCTTGCCCTCCTCCGGAGCTTCTCCGTACATCAAACCCGATCTCTGGCCTCGCTCGTCTTCGTAGGGGGTGTCATAGAGCTGCACGCCTCCTCGTGAGCGTCCTCCTGCCGTGCCACGCTGCAGCTCTGTTGCAGAAAAACACAAATAAGACACAAACATTCATGGATTTGTAGAATATTAAGAACTAATATTTGATCGTAGCAATGAAGCTCCTCTAAAAAAAAGAAAGAAGAAGAAGAAGCTAATATTATTGTGCATTAAAAATTCAAACAAAAAGAGCCTGTTGAGCTCTGACATGACTAGAATTAGAGAAGAGGGACAAATTATGTTTGCACAGCTTGCCGTGGGCTCAGAATCCCATATGGGGGGCTTAGCAAGGCCCCGGGCTGGATGCTGAGCAGCAACAGTCGACTCCCCCTCTTCCTCTTGTCCAACCTGAATCCCAGCAGCGATCGAGCACGGCTCAAGAAAAAAAAAGCATCCGCAATCCCTTGTTAACATTTTCATCACTTTCTCTGCGGGTTCCAACCAACAAATGCTTCTCGGCACCTGCGGCTGTTTTATGTGGAGTCAAATATGACCGTGAGATAAAAGGCTTTGAGACTATTGATCCGAGCCAGAGGATAAAATCTTATTTCGAAAATGCATCGATGGGAGCTTCTGTGCTTGCGGCAGTCGGTAGGCGTTTGATTTGCTGACCCCTTTAGAAAAACGAGCGGTACAGGAGAAGGAGAAATGAGAGAGTCGGCATCTTCTTGATGCACTTAGGTGAGAAGGGAAGGTTACGAAATGGAAAGGTTCACCGGTGAAATGCAGAGAGAAACTTTAACCTTCACACGACAAGACGCTGCTATTGGTTAACCATCACCATGGTGACCAAGTGGTGGGGAGGCCCTGGGGGAGACGGGCCCCGAGGTTATAAAGGAGGGAGGGGAGGTGAGGAGGAGAGGATGTGAGGAGCAGGAGGGGAAGGGAAGCAGCGAGGAAACGAGGGTGGGAGGGTGATGCTGGAGCAGGGGGAGACAGGGGACTGTCAGCATTTGATGTTAAGTCATTGAGACAGAAGCACAGCGGGGCTGAACGCTGCTCTACCTGCACCGGGAACCCGCCGTGTCGCTGCAGCCCGGAGTGGAGAAGATGAAGGTCGGGAGATAAAAAAAAAAAATACAAAGCCACGGAGGAAATAAAAATCTGAAATCCACAGGAAAACAGCAGCAGGAGGTGTGGTGGGATTGGAGGGGAAGGAAAACAGCAATTTGACAGATTGACGGCAACATGCAGATGTGTACCAGCCAGGAGATCAGCATCTAATGGAACAAAACCACCTGAGAGCACCGGAGCCTTCTGAAAGCAAAGTTTTGCAAAGCACATAGGTGTCTCTTCAGGACAGTCTTTGCTGAGAGATAATTACTATTCCGATCTCACATCTGTTTTGCTGCTCTGCTGTTTTTCTAATGAGCAACAACAGACAGACAAAAGCCGGCAGACAGACGGCCCCGGAGTGACAGCCTCGATTCAAAGTCAATGAAAGAGCTGCGATAATGCTTTGCAAAACGCTCCGCCATCACCGCTGTGAATCTAATCTCCCCAACGGCTCCATCCAGCTGCGGCGACAAAAAGATTTTCTTCAAGGTTCCTCAGTTTGAGGAGGAAAGGGGACGTTCACTTACGGCCCGATATTATGAACTTCATTTGACGAGCAAAAAGGGCAGCGCCAATGTCACCGGGAAGAGAGGGAGAGAGAGGACGGGGCATGAAAGCCGCTAAAGGACAAATTAGAGTGACAGCCAGAGACTCCCCTCAGGGCCAGGGAGAGCCCTCGAGATGAAGAGAGATGGAGGAAGCAGGGATGGAGGGGGGAAGGCCTTTTACACTGAATGACTGAGACAGAGCAGGGAGAGAGCAGAGGGGGTGAGGGGAGGCAGACAGAGATGTTAGAGGAGGAGAGACAAATGGAAAACGATAGATGGGAGCTAGACGATGTGGGAGAAAATCACTTGGGAGAGGAGGGAGGGGGTGGGAGGCCAGGACTGGATAGACTCTTTAAAGGAGCATTTCATGGAGGCTGAGGGTCGATCCAGGTGTGATGAAGGGAAACACGGCGGAGAGGAACCGTCGACTGGCAAATAAAAAGGCCCAGCAGCAGCGCATCTGGCATTAATGTCAAAATACTTCACCGGGAAAGAAAGAGGAGCAATAAAGACAGATAATGTTATTGATCACCTCAAAAAAATCGCTGACAAATTCCACATAATGGTGCAGTTGCATATTTTATTCATGATTTAATATGCCTGAAATGCAATATAATACCTGACTCTCAGGTAAGAGCTTTGGAATTAACCCCTTAGGATGTCCAGCTACTCTCATATTACGCGTCTGAATTAATTATATGCATGTTTAGGATCACTGTGGGAGGAGATAAAAGATCACAAAAACATGCAACAAGCTCAGCATCCTGGGATTAGAGCCTTCCACTGACCTGTTATGACCCTCTGGGCTTCATATGGCTCCATGTAGCCGTTGTTCTCACAGGGAACGGGCCTGAGGTCCGGTTCTGTTCGGTGGTCCAGTCGGGCGTCAAACGGGTCCGAGTAATCCGTGTCCCCCGCCAGCGGAGCAGACGGCACCACCTGAAGGACAAAACAGTCGTGAAGAAGGAGCGCTTTGTTACGGAACATTAACTCCATCCCTCGAGGGGGCGTGAAAAAAAAAAAAGAACGAGCTCAATATAATGAATAAAACCATTTAAAAAATATTTCTCTCTCGGAGGCACATGTGCAGGAAAATGAGCCAAAATGAAAACGGTGCGATGTAATTGCTTCCAGCCACCTTCTCTTATTAGCATTTTTGTGAGAGCTGCACATCAAACGTCTGAATGAGACGCTCGAGTTTAAGCATCCGAGGACGCAAGTGTTTCCTGATAATTAGGAAAATTCAGACGAGGTGAGAAGGAATCATGTGTTCACTGAATGGCCTGATCCAAAACTTTGGAGTCGAGCCACTCCAGGATAAAGAACCTTCATGATATCACGACACCACAACAACACCGAAGAAGAAACTATGATGTTGTAAGAAAGCCTCCTGTCCCGGTCTGATCTCATTTTTTGGCTGGAAGGAGAGACTGCAGAGATTAAAGAGGGAGAAATCTGGTCGGTAGCATTTGTTCCTTCATGCGAGCGCAGGAGGGAAACAGCGGTCACCTGGCAGCGTGACAGCTCCATAGGCAGCCATATGGTCACACACACTTATACTGTAAAGAAAAAACAACCCAGAAACACACACATCCTTTGTCTCTCAGCCTCTACGACAAAGGAAATCACTTTCCAAATTCCAGCTAAACAGGCACACACCCCCTCTTCTGAAATTACATCCTAATCCCGTGTTGATTCTGTAACAGGTTATCTATCGATGCACAGGAATCTGCAATGTTAATTAGAGTGCGGAGGTTTCCACAGACCCTGGGAAATTAATGAGAACGGGAGGAGAAAGGGGAGAGCGGCGGGGCGGAGAGGGGAGCTATTGACTCCGGTTAAGACTATTACTTCAATCCACTTCAGGAGTTTTCGCACTTGTAGCATTTTCCGTGAGCGGAGTCATGGATTTAACTGGCAAAACCCCTGAAATACTCCCTAACTTACTCAGCACATGTGAGTTAATGCGTGGACCAGTCCCCCTGTAAAAACCTATACCTCTGCCCCAGTCAGTCTCTCCCAACATCTGCCTCATTTGTTCTCTGCAGCTGTTTTCTGCAGCAGAACCCTGATGACACAAACAGCACCAAAAGGCATAAATTACAACCTCCCAGCGGCCTCTGAAACATCGCCACGCCGTATCCGGCCCCCGAACATCATATGGGGTCTCTTCTCTCTCGCAGCTTGCAAAACCAAACCCCATTCATTATTTATGGAAGGACATAAACTCAGGGGACTGTGACCCTCTATGAGTCAGTGGTCCGCTCAAGCCATCAATAATTCTTTCTTCCATCTCTGCGAGTGAATTTATGGAGCTGCACAGGATGTAATGTGATTTATTTAAACAATGCATATTTGTGACATGCATTAGCGTTCTCCTGCTCATGGAGCCTGATCAGTAAAGCTGTCACGCTGATGTAAACGGGATGAAAGAGAAGTGGGAGAGTGGTTTTTATTTTGTTTCCCATCAACCCCTTCTGCTCACTTTGTCATCACAAAAGCTGAGAATCTTACAGGCTCTTGCTGGTCCTCTAAGGAGATGGCACTGAGGAGGATCTTGGTGCGCCCCAACTCCTGGGAGTCCACTTTGATCAGTCTGTGTTTGGGAGACTTCATGTCCACGCTGGACGACTTCATGGGGGATCCGTAAACCGGCGTGGCCGGGTCGGACGTCCCAGACTCCCCCCTGGATCTGCTCTCTGAGTCCTCGTAGGGATCTTCGAAGTCGAGGTCCCTCTGGAGCCGATAAGCTTTGAGGATCTCGCTCTCGGTGTAGTCCGGAGTGGGCGGCTGAGGAGGAACCTTCCTGCCAAAGCTCAGGTAGTCTTTCAGCCACTTGGCCATCGCAGCTTCCAAACGTGCTGCTGCTGCTGCTGTGAGGTGGAGTGAGAGCAGGAGGCTGCAGGGGGCACACAGGGACAGAAACAGGGTTATTGCCTGACCTTATTTCTCTGGAGATGGTGTGATTGGATTTGCTCTGTGGGGCTTTTATGGTCTGACAAGACAGTCCAAAGATTAAACAACAATTCTATTCCCACTCTGACAATATTAATCCACAGGTCCTGATCCTCTCATAAGGTTTGAGCGGGGACCATCCCCTGCTGCTCACAGAACCACGTTCTGTGTGGATTTTACATGTGACAGTAAACCGCACCGACAGCTGGGCTTTACGCACTCCTTTTGTTTTACGCAGGGAGCAATAACGTGTGGCATCTGGACTTTGCCCAACGGCTGCAATTACATTCACACCCCAGCAATAAAGCCCGACTTTAACACGGTGGTATAAAAGTAAAGACAAAGACTGGAGGAGACGATTACAAAAGTCATGTGGAATCAAAAGAAATCGATTAAATTCAAACACCTTTTTAACTTTTCTCTTTGAAATTTAAATTAAATAGAATAAAACTATTTTAGCTTCGGTGCGGACTCGCTTGAGCCTGAAAATAAGCTCATTTAAACAATTAAACATCGGATTTAAATCCCAGAAAGCGCTGCGCACCCAAAGCGCAGCCACTCACCGAACCAATTCAGTCCCGGAGCCACTTTGAACGCTTTATTCCGCGTTTCTTCATGTCTATGCCAGTAAAACGACACAAAAGAGTGACAAAACCTTCCACTTTTCAATCCACACAAGCTCGAGAACAGGAGAAACAGCTCCTCTTTTCTCTTTTCTTTTTTCTAGCACAGCGCAAAGCAGCGACATCCACCGGAGCTCCTCCAGCGACTGACGGCAAACGTGCGAGTGAAGAGAGAAACTCAGCCGAGCGATTAAAGGGGAGGCGCTTCATTCCCTCTGGAATACCTCCTCCTGCTCCCTTTCGCAGTCAGCCAAGCGTTCATTCATTGAAATATCTGTACATCATAAGGCTGCGAACAGCAGACAGTCTGCATCCTCTTCCAGGAGATGAAGAAACCCAGTGTGTGCAGGGAGCGAACCAGCTTTGGCACGAATCTGCTCCAAGACATGTACATTATTTATCCGCATGACATCAGTGGAGAGTTTTCATGTTTTAGCTTCAGTGAATGTGATTTAAATGGTTTTCTTTCTTTGCCTTTCAGGATGCAGCTCCTGAGGGCTGAACAAAACTGCTTCTGTGTAAAAAGGTGCAAAAGAGAATTCAGATTTCACAAGTGTGGACACGAAACCTCTCCTCATCTCACACAAGATGACAAAACCACTGAAGCTTGTCCTCTCTGATGGAAACATAAAGCCTATTTTTGAGCTTCATCCCCTTTGTTTGGTGCCTTTTCATCCTCTCACAGATGTCACATTATCCAGTGTCCAAGGCTGTTCAATTGGATCTGAGTAAGGCCCATCTAACTCTGTTAAAAGACCCTAAATGCCTTTTTTTTCTTTACGACGATCGTGTGTTCACTTTCTCCCAGAGGCTGGAGGCTGGATGAGGTCATCAGGCTGCTGTAGAAGATCCACCCCCCACCACCATCCATTATCACCACCATCAGCATCATCCCATCAGGACCCTCACAGCTTCCCCATCTTCCTGCGCCAGGGTTCAAGAAGCAGCAGCTCCAGACCTAAAGGGAGGTCGTGGAGGTTAAAAACAAGCCCCAGGGTGTTTAGGAAAGAAACCTGAAGCAGCTGTGCAAGCGTGGCTGCAAAGATCTGAAGACAGGATCAATTTCACCACATCAGCCAAGAAAGAGCTTTCAGTTTTTATCTGTGGAAAAGACGCTACAACCCTCTGGACTCCTCTCCCTGTGTTCTGCCTCCTCTTTACCTCCACAACCCAAAGTCTGCTGTTTACGGCTGCAACAACAAACTCTCATTGAAAAAAATGCTCACGTTGCGACTATCAGTCATTATCATGTGTGAATGGGATCAATACGTTGTGCAAAAGGTCTTATCTGGTGGGAATTACATCTATTAAGTTGATAGAGATCTTGTTTGGACACCATACAGGTCTTGATATAACAAGACAATTTATTTTTGCACAATATGTGTTGACATTTTGGCTGAATAATCACTGCACCAAACACATCTTTTACCCCACATGGCTAAAAAACAGCAGGTTTCAGTGTCCTGTCTTCCTCCTTCTGCTGCCATTCCTTCCCTCCTTTGCTTTTTCATCTCTTATCAGATCTTGGAATCCACCAGTAATCTGTCTTGCAGTCACAAATACCCCATTTTTTCATCTGCACAGTCCACTCAGTCCGACAGCACCTCTGACCCTCCAGTACCAAACTGAGCATACATTTCATTTCCATCCCGGCCGGAGAGGGAGCCAGAACTTTATGGAGGAAAAGAGTAAAACTAAGCAGTAGATGGAAAAATGAGAGACGGACGGACGGACGGACGGACGGATGGACGGATGGACAGGCTGTCAGAGTGAGTAGGACGCATGCAGAGGACAGGAGAGGAGAGAGAAAGTGAAATGGAAAATCTGGATGTCTCAGTGAGAGGTAATCACAGACAGACAGACAGACAGACAGACAGACAGACGGTTGTTCTCTCATGCGAAATACACACAGTTGCTGGAAGCCAAAGATTTAATTGAATCCCCCCAAAAAAGAAATACATACAAGGCGCTGTGGAATTTTTCAGGAAATTAATAAGACTGCCTCATTATAAAGGGCTAAATATGGATGTGACATTTCCTCTGAACTTCAGGCTTCACTCAGATGTTGCTCTTTCATCTGTCATTTAGCAAATTTGCAAAGGTTTATAAGCAGCTGTGTTTTCTGTTCTTTTAAATATATATTTCTTGTGCTTCAGTGGCTGCAAACAGCTACACGTGACGAGGTTACCCATCAAGGTCATGAATTTAATCTGAATATAATTGTGAGCCTTTGGGTTGAATTAAGGAGGTGGAGAGGGAGGAAGAGGCAGATGTGCAGGAATAATTGTTTCCTATTGTTTCATCTGCTTTGCATTGACTGCCCTCATTTGGTGAGTTGCGCGTACTGCAGGTGAGCTTTGGAAATAATGCTGCATTCAAAGTCACAGCTTTGGGAAAATGGCACCAAGAAGCAGGAAATGTAAGAAGGAACAGTACAAGCATTAGAGGAGCTCATACAGGCGTCCCAGATGAGTTTGTTTCATCAAATCCATAATTACCTAACTTCATAGTGAAGCTGCATTGATGTAAACTCATTTTTACTCACCTCACGTTTTCTTTATCGCGCCATTGGCGAGATTCACTGTCAGGAATTGGCTACAAATGACGAAACTCAGACTGTAAATAAACACATGGTGCGTAAAACACCCATAAACTGCCCATTTACGCACGAGCTCATGTGCTCAGCAGCTCCTAGCACGCTGCTGGACACAAACATGAAGCCTGTGCTCCCACTCGGTGCCTCTTCACGCATTTTTAAAGCAGCTCCGGACACATGCCATCCATCATCGCCAATCAAACGCTGATCCGGCGTTTTGCGCAGTGCTGATTGGTTGATTTACGAGGAGGGCGGGCGCAGCGGCTGCTGTCCGCCAGGCAGCAGTGACTCCAGCGTTTTGCTGCGAGCAGCTGATGGCACAGAGGAAGCACTCACCTGGAGCTGGACGGTCCTCCACAGGTAGGCTGCATGTGTCTCCAGCAGGTCAGTGGGGAGTTGTGTGTTCAAGCTTCAGCTGCGGAGGGTTAACTGTTGGTATTCCTACAATGTTAGTGCCCCCAGATTGCCAATATTGATCAATGGCTCATGAGTAGATGAATTAAAAGACCCACAGACTAACGTGTACATTTCAAATAACGCTGTTTTTCTTGTGTGTTTCCGTGTTTTTTGCAGAGTTCCTGTTGAGACTTTGACCATCAAACCCACTATGAAAAGTCTGAAAGCAAAGTTTAAAAAGACAGAGGTAAGAGTGTCTGAGCCGTACAGGTGGCTGCATTTTAAAGCAGGCAAAGCAAACACCTACAAGGTCTTTTATTTTATTTCCACTCAGTGTGACAGCTGCTCTGTCATGTCTATGGGTCCCAGGCTGGCTGCTCTATGTGTGTGTTTGTATATATATATGGCAGCTCTGGGATTTAGTGTCAGCGAGCAGCAGCAGGAGAGCAGAGCTGTCTCCAGACTGCTGCTATAACAGAGATCTCAGGTAGCCTTCAATTATTCACACGGACGTGCACACACAGACACATGCACAGACTCACACAAAGAATTCGTGCTTTCCTGCTGTCGTCATGAGGGGCGACTCAAAGAGCAAACTTTGTTCACAGGAGCTGATGTATGGGCAGATGCTGCAGTCAAGTGCAGGCTGACGTCCTGGTTTTGGTCACTGATACAAGCTGATTAAACAGCAACCTTCTGACCTTCTTTCGTGGCCTGCAGGGTCTGTGATACAGTCTGGGGATGTTGGTGCTGGTTTTTGCACCATTATAGCCTGTTGTTGTCCCTAATATCTCCACTTAGCTGCACATTTAGTTCACTAGACAGATACATGCTGGACTGCAGCCTGTTTGTGTGTCTGATTTTGAACCCTCCTGCCCCATAAATGACCGTCCAAAACATCCCAAGCGGTGTGCAGCTTATCCAGCTTTTCTTTTTTGCTGAGTCCTCACATCACCCAGGCCCTCTCTGCTCTGTAGCTGCAGAGGAGCAGGTCTGTGACGCTGCCAGGAGGGGGTTTACTGTGCAGGACCTGACAAAATAAAACTCGTGTGAGAGAACAGGAGGGAGTATTCTACAGAGAAAGCAGGGAAATTATTAGGCTAGAGAAAGGAGGACAGCGAGGACAGGAGGGAGGTGGCAGTTTAGCGAGGTGCAGAGGAGAGATTTGCTGTGTCCCTGCTAGCAGCTGGAACGTGGACGAGGAAGAAGATGCTGTTTTGGATGCGGAGAGGCGGCGCTGCGCTGTGAGAGGCTGTGAGGACAGAGAGCAGCTGTGTTTCTGTATGTGTGGCCAGATATTCAGTTTCAGTGGAGGTGTAATTTTGAGGACAGCATGAAGTCTCTGGTATGTAGCTCCGGATTAGGATGCTGCTCTGACCTCTGAAGGGTATCGTGCAGAAACTTAGTTGCTTGGTGTAAATGAGCTGCAGTGAGTGTGCATTGCTATGCAGCCAGGTGGCTTCGTGTACTGACAGGCAGGACACACACACAGTGGTGGTTTTGTTCACTGTAGCGTTGTTTAGTGTGTGTGTGTGTGTGTGTGGTGCCCTGCTAGCAGCATGGATCCTCAGCAGCCTGTTTTTAGCCTGATGAAGCGGTTCTGTCCTTGTTTCAGCCTGCTGCCGCTGCCAGTAGGTATCTCCTCTCTCTGTCCATAAATACATGAATGCAAAATGCTTACAGCCTCTTAAAAGTTTTTCATGCAACTTATAAAACTTGTGTGTCATTGTCTTGCTCAGCAGGCAGACTGCATGTTGTTTCTTAGTCATCTGTTGTTTGTGTGTGAGGAGACCTGCAGTGAGGTGTTTGTTGTTCATCCGGTGGTGACCTGTTCTCATGTTTGGCCCCCTCAGAGTCAGGACTGGAGTAAAAGTGATGAGAGGCTCCTGCAGGCTGTGGAGCAGAATGAACCGGATAAAGTCTCGGCCCTCATTGTCAAAAAAGGCCTGTGTCCCACCAAGCTGGATGCTGAGGGCAAGTCGGCGTAAGTTGTGCATTTAAATTTCACCTTAATCCACTGCACACAGTCCCGCGCTTAGATTACACTAAGTCCAGTTCTTTATCGTTGCATCTATCAGGTTTTTTTTTAGTAAATGATTTGTTGCCTACTTTCTCTTGTACTAAAATTAATCTGACAAGAGGAGTCAGCCTCAGACAGGCATGTAAATACAGACCAGATTTATTTTTCATCTGCAGTGACTAGCAACATGTTCTGTCCTTCTTCCTTTCCGTCAGCTTTCATCTGTGTGCATCCCGAGGTCGCCTGGACTGTCTGGAGGTCATCATCTCACACAGAGCAGACGTCAACATCATCGACGGGGCTGGTAAGACATTTTATTACAGGAAAAAAAATCCTGCAAGCCAAGAATCGCACGTGTCGTGGATTGTGTATAAGAGTCTCTTTATAACTGACTGACTCCAGGTTTCAGTGCGCTTCACCTCGCAGCCAAAAACGGACAGTCAGACTGCCTAAAGAGACTGTTGCAGGTAAAACACTGTTAGTCCATGAATTATTCTAATCAGGAATTAAATATAGATTCAGGAAACATAATTTTTAAGATCTAATGACTGACAGGATGTTTTGTTTCCTCCAACAGGAGAGGATGTCAGTAGATTGCGCTGACAGCATTGGCAGGACGGCCCTTCATCATGCAGGTAACAGGGACGTGATGCACAATCTGCATCACAGCATCTTCTCACAGACCTCATTTAATACAACATAAACATTAGAGGAACCTCGAATCTCGATTTAACAGGAGTTGTATTATCTAACTAGAACAGGTAGCGTTAAGAAGTTCAGATAAGTTTCTGTATGTAATCCTTGGATCACCATGATTCTGATCATACAGCGGTCAGCGGCTGCTCGTCCTGCACAGAGACTCTGTGGGACTTTAAAGCCAATCTGGACGTCCAGGACAGTGTAAGTCAGAAGATTGTGGCTCAAATATATATTTGCTGGTTTTGCTGATTCGTGATTCTCTCGTTATTTGCTGCTGCTCTGGTCAAGTACGTCGAACATTATTAAACAAAGCGTATGTTGTTGGTTGCTCGGATGTTTGTGCGTCTCTTCAGGACGGAGCCACGCCTCTGATCTTAGCCGCCCAGATGAGCAGAGTGGAGCTGTGTGTCTTCCTGTTGGGTCGAGGTGCCAATGCAAACATACAGGACAACCAGGGAAGGTACTGAACCGTGATAATGTCTCTTCCTCGTGTGGTTCAGTGAGCCAGCGGTACCACTACTGTGTCCTTTGTTCGTCTCACTGGAGGCTTTCTAGGAACTGCTGAAACCCTGACAGACGGAACGAGTGGACGTGTCAGACTTGTAGGAGCCCTGTGGAGGCAGACGGGGGCATGAAACAGCCTTCTTAGCTAAAAGGAAACTCTTCAGGATAATTCTCACAGCAGTTAGGCCAGAATGCAGCAGCAGAGATTCCCATAGAAAGACTCCAATAGCTGGGGAGGGATTTGGAGGGATGCAGGTCAGGACTTCCAGCTGGGAGCAGCAGCTTTCGCTTTGGCCCTGAGCAGCCCTTTGGAGAGGATTATGAGAGGACTGTCTGTCAGTTAACATCCACTCATCCATTCATTTTGCTCCTTATCTGAGCATGGGTCCTGGTGGCAGCAGGTTCAGCGTTCCAGACATCTCTTTACCCAGCGATGCTTTCAAACACATTTCCAGGTCAGATGAGATATATGAGCCCTCCAGCAAGTTCTGGGTCTACCCTGTAGTCTACTCCCAGTTGTATCTCCTAAAAAACATTCCAAAGCAAGGCACCAGGTAGCGTCCTCATCAGAGCCACCTCAGCTGGCTCCAAAGGAGCAGCGACTCTGCTAAGCTCCTCACCCCACGTCTAAAGCTGAGCCCAGTCAGCCAATGGAGGAAACTCATTTCAGCCACTTGTATCTGCATCTTATTCTTTCACTTCCTACCCAGAGCTGGTGACTATAGGTGAGGGCTGAAACTAAGACTGACTGTTAATGAGAGCTTCGACTTCCACCTGAGCTGTCTTTTCTCTGAAATGGTCTGGTAAAGACCCGCATTACTGGTGATGCTGGAAAAACCATCTCAAGCTCAGGTTTCCTGTCACTCATGAACAAGAGCCCGTTATACTTCAACAGCTCCCTCCCAACCATGAGAATACAAACACAGCTCACAGTCTGGATGTAGAAAGACCAGATGGCTCATAGCAACTGCCCCAGCGCGCCGTAGTCTCACAGTACCCCCAAAGGGTTCTCACACAGCCGTGATCCATAAAACACATGTGGACTGGATGGTCAGACTCCCAGTTTACATTAGCAAGAAAACAAAGGAAAGAAAAACGGTTCTTCCAGCTTCAGCTTTACTTTAAATGGGACCTTTTCGTCCTCCTGCTTCATATTGTGTCGAGTGCCTTGATATTCATTCTGAAGCACAACCTGTTTGGAACACCTGACCAAAGCTGACAGTTCTTCACCTTTCACCCTTTTTTTTGTTGCAATGTTTGACATGTTAGCAGCACAGCCTGAAGGTCCTGGGTTTCATTCTCAGCCTTTCTGCGTGGAGTCTCCATGTTCTCCCCGTGCAGCGTGGGTTCTCTCCGGGTTCTCCGGCTTCCTCCCACAGTCCACAAACATGCTGAGGTTAATTGGTGATTGTAAATTGTCCGTAGGTGTGAATGTGAGTGTGCTTGGTTGTCTGTCTCTAAGTGTAGCCCTGTGATAGACTGGTTACCTGTCCAGGTGAACCTGCCTTCACCCTGAGTCAGCTGGGATAGGCTCCGCCCCCTGCGACCCTCTGTGTTTTGCTCTGATGGTGGTGGAGAGCACAGCACAGTGTAGTTCACATTGTGTTAGCTTTAATATTGTGTTTGGACTCACAGGTCTGCGTTGATGCTGGCCTGTGAGAGCGACAGCGTGGAGACTGTGGAGGTTCTGCTGCGAGGCGGCGCCAACACACAGCTTGTCGACACGCTGGGACACAAAGCGTCCGACTACAGCACGACCACAGGAAACCAGCGCATCATTCAGATGCTGCAGGATGGAGTTCCTCCAGGTACGGTGCGAGGCCTGAGTCTGTCACAAGTACACATAAGGCCTTTTTATTTAACTAGCGCAGCTCCTTTGACCAAATGATCACAAATCACGCCCTGTTAGTTCTGTTAAATCATGAATGAAACAGCTCTTGGCAGCATTTACTTCACATGAAGTGGCAGCGTTACAGTCTCATATAAAACACATGGCAGCAGCAGCATCGTGCAGATCATCAGTGTGAGGCTCCCGTCGGCTGCTGTGCTGCTCCACATCCCAACTGACTCTCAGCTCCCCCAGGAAACAACTGTAATAGGAGGAAGTGGATCAGGAGGACAGCTGGGCGTGATCATGAAGTGGGGTTAAAAAAAAGAGAGAGAGAAAGGCTCGCTCCACTTTTATCTCCCAACAAAGACTTTGCTGAGATATGAAAACCAGATGTGTGGCTGCTCTGAGCAGATAATGATGAAGGAGAGGATTCTGCTTGCGTGTGATGCCTGACCACATTAGTTTGTATTCTGTAATTGGACAGCTTGGTGGATTTTCCACAAAATACATGACTTGCATCTAATAAAAAGCGAGTGGAGGGGATATACTCACATGTGCTCCTTGCTGAAGAGGCTTAAGTGTTTTACTGTCTTTTTTCTCACGCGTACGTAGCGTCCGAGGGCACAGGAGAGGAGGTAATGCTGCATAGCTGCGTGTTGCATCACTCCTTCCATCAGTGAGATCATGGCTCACTTCGGCTGATCATATTGTGCATGTTTTCCAATATGAGGTCATTGTTTTTGTGTGCCGCTTTCTTTTTGTTGGCTTTCTGTTCGCCTTTTGTTGCTGACCCTTCCACCTTATCTTGGTTTCCTGCATTTTCCTTTTTAAGTTGCGCTTGACCTCTGCTTGTTTGTGATCCCCTTCCTCCCACCCACCAACCCCCCATGGCAGCCTGCTCAGATCCCTTCAGGCGCCTCATCAGTGCAAGGGGGGACCACCCCCCGCAAACGGAAAGCTCCTCCGCCGCCACGCTCGCCTCTGCAGGTACCGTAAGGAACGCTTCAGTGGATAGAAAACACAGCACGGCGCAGCCATGTTGGAGCTGTGAAATATTAAACCTAGAAGTACATTTTCTTTGACTCAGTTTTATTATTTGAGATGAGCTAAAGCCTGCGAAACAAATAGATTTACTTCAGATTGAATCTGTGGTACCACGTGACCAAACAAAGACACACTGACGTCCTTATTTATGCTAAAAACTAGTGACTGCTTCTCCATAGAGCAGCTACACTGCATCGTCTGTGACTACAACTTTTATCCTTTCTCTCCTCACAAAGATCAAGGGTTTGCCGCCCTCCCCACAGCCCAGTCCAGACCCTCCAGCTCAGTCCCCTGAGCCCCAGCCGTCACCTTCTCCTTCTCCACAGCCTCCAGACTCCCAGGCATCCGCCCAGGTCAGACCTGTGATTCTTGGTTTTTTGTCAGTTATCGTGGATGCTCTTCCTTTACAGCACATGAGACGCAGGCTTTGATTGGGTTTTATGTGTACAAGGGTGAAGATGAGGAGGTGTTTGAGGAGATCCGACGGCTTCGCCTGGAGAGAGGCCGTCTGCTCCAGAAGATTAAAGCCTTGGAGCAGCAGCATCAGAGCGCCCTCTCTGCCTTGGAGGAGGTACTGAACAGCAGGCGGTGCCAATTCCCATTCCTCACTTTACTTCAACCTATTAATACTAGTTAACCCTCACACTGCAGGCCAGACATTCAATAAAACACTGACCAAGCAACGTGTTCACTGATATTTATTGGAAAAAAATGCTCAAATAACAAAGTCAAAATCCTGTTCATCCCAAAAAGGGCCTAATCGTGTGCTCTATTAACATCCTACTTTCAAATGAGAACCTGAGAGAACCATGTTTCTCAGATCACAAGTCAGTGCTCTAAATCGTCACATGACATATTGAATATCACTCCAATAAATTCACAATCAACACACAGAAGTCGGGTCTCGGTGCTACCAGGGATTAACGCTCTAATTAATGCACAGCAGACCGAAAATAAGAAAGTGAGTAAAAACTAAACATACAAAAGAATTAACAGAAATAAGAGAAGGTGGTCTGGCTGCATAGGAAGCACTTTCATGTCTTTTTGTGCCACAAAAGGCTGCGCCCATTAACTGACAAATGTTATAAACAAAACCAGAAACAGCAGAACCAGAAACAGCAGAACCAGAAACGGCAGAACCAGAAACAGCAGAACCAGCTGAGCGATTACTGTCGAAAGCACAAACAGTAGATAGAAAATTAACACAGACAAAATGAAAACACATTTCCAGCATAGAATAAACTCAGATGTTAGCAGGTGTCATTTAAAAGCACAGTGAACCTGAACGGAGCTGTTTTTACACACTGGTTCTGTTTCTCCATAGAAAGCTGTGTGGCCGCGCTGCAATGTCCAAAGTCATGCAACACCCACATAAAATCCCACGGTACAAACTACTCCTAAAACATCATCTAACCTCCGAACACAGACACCTCCAGACAGAGTGAGGCCGAGCATCTCCTCTGGAATCCCACAGACAGGAATCAGCACCTCAGAGCTCATTAACTGACTTTATCACCTCTCCCAGTCCCAAGCAGACAACCTCCAGTGTTATATTATAGAATGATAAAGTCTGTGTATATGCATCTATATCTGAGATGACAGTATATTAAAGCAGACTGAGAAACTGTGAGCTATGATCTTCCTATATGTGTGTGCACTAGTTGTCCCAACTGAAGCAGCGTCTAGCGGAGGCCGAGGCAGAAAGAGACCGGCTGCTGGAGGAGCTGAAGGGGGCTCATGGAGTCGGGGCCAGTGACTCTGAGGACATGGATGAAATGTTGGACTTCCCAGGTATGCGATCCATGTATTCGTGGACGTTCCTGACCGCGGCAGAGAACACGCACGACCTTACATGCGTGTTCTCTGCTGCATTATTGGGCATTCCTGCGTCTGTCGTTCTCAGGACTGACTTGTCTTCGTTGTGGTTTCTCTTCCTCTAGAAAAGCTGCTCTCGAAGCGCTCCAGAGCTGCTCAGGATGAGGACACTCCTCAAGCGGACTCAGCCGGCCCCCCTCCTGCCCCTGGAGACCCAGGAACTGTTGCTGAGCTGCGCAAACAAATAGAGGAGCTTACCTCCCAGAACTCTGAACTGGTTCTTAAAGTGCAGGTAGGGCCAAGCAGCACAAATGCATAAATACACAAGTGAAGCACCTGCACATGCTCCTGATATGTCCACAGAAATCACACAAACATACGGTGTCCCGGCTCTCTAAAGTATAAACTGATGGTGAAGTGATTATTAAATGGTTCTGGGGCAGAACATGAAGATTCTGTTTCAAGAGCAGCTGAGTGTCTCTGACTCAAGCATTCGTCACGACCACTTGAACTTCAGGCCGGTCACTCTGCTGCGCTAATGCTAACGCTAATGCACCGCGGCACTGGTGTTCACACGGGTATAAATAGAACCGCATCAGATGCAGACATGGAGGCATTTTGTAGACATTCGTCACTGACTGGGTCAAGCTGGTTGAAGTAAACGCTGCTCTTCATCACTGGAGGTTGTTTGAAGCGTTCTGTAATGATGTGGTTTTTCACTCGCCACTGGAGCCATGACAACCAGGGAGCCAGGCCAAGAGCTTCACATCTGCCCTGCTGTGTGAGAGAAGAGGCAGGAAGGGAGGCCAGAACTCTTTAGTCTGATATGAGGGCAACGAGAGATGTTGTAGCTGATGTGGCACAGAAGCAAACTAGAACCAGAACTTCCTGCTGTGAGTTATGATGGTGGTTTATGTTGTTGGTTTCTGTACCTCGTAGCTTATTAAAGTGGGGCTTCATCTATGTTGTAATGAGAGGCAGCAAAATGTGGGCTGTAGTGTCTGTGAGGCTTGATTCTTACTGGAGATTAAAATCACTTTGGGTCACTTCTTCTGTCATGTGATGGGAGTGAAACACTAACGAGCTACAGTCCGTACACACCACGATGTAAGCCAAGCATCACTACGAGGGATGTCCCGATTCTAACTTCAGCACCCGTGCTGATCAAGGATCTAACTGATCAAACTCATGGTGCCCCTTTGCTTAGTGAAGCCCCACAATGCTCTCTGCTCGTGTGTTGACTTTAAAATGGGACTGTGGACGTACATGCGGTTCTGTTCAGGTCCACACCGGTCACACAGACAGACACATCGGCCCCATGTTAGACACAGGACAGTTTTTAACTAGTTATAGCAGCTACTGTGTGTGCTGCTATCCGGCTGCAGCACCGTGTCACTAAACACACTTGTGGTGGACGACAGAGGACATGTGGAGAGTTTAGAACTTCCTGCTGTGTTGGAAAGCCTTTACAAATGAAAACAACTAGAAAGTCAGGCAGCTGCCACTGCAAGTCTTTAAATGGTGAACTATAAAGGTGGATCTCCTTGTACACTCTGAGCAAACATTGGTTTTGAGGACCATTGGTTTTCCTTGGATTGTGTACTCCGACGATGCTACCTGAGAGCAGTAGCTCACACAGCTTGCTGACAAACAGTACGATGCACATTACTGAATGCAGCTTACCTACACCGCTGATCTTATTGAACCTCTGCTGCTTTCAGATGCTGGAGATGTTTGAGAAGGACGACACAGACATGCAGACCTCCAGTTCTGACTTTGTCCCCATAGCTCAGTATGAGACCCTGAGGAGGGAGTTTGAAGCCCTGCAGGAGCGCCTCTCTCAGGCCCAGGCGTCAGATGAAGCCTCCAGTGTGGCAGAAACACAGTAAGGTCCATTCATTCAGGATTCAGGACCAACAAACTGGAGTGACGGCCGCATCACAGTTCACATTCACTTGATCAGGCCTTTATTCTGAGATGTGCACACCTTTGCTAATATCAGTTGGGCAGCCTCAGCACTACCTGCATGGGGCCTCCACTGGGGCCGTTTCTAAAGGTGCTGAGCATTTCATGTTTTTCCTGCAGCATGATGGAGGCTGAGCAGGCTTGTACTGATGACATCATGGTTCTGGTTGTTTCTTGACCACTATCGTCTCAGATGTATTGTTCTTATAAAGCAAAACCATCCAAAAACATTTATGTCAACACAAGTTGCATTCTGGCAACAACACATTTTAATCATATACTGTTGATGTGTTTAACTATGTGGTGTAAAGCTGAACTATTTATTTTATGGAGAACTATTTCTCTGTCATGATATTTAATACAGAATGTATGTAATCTATCAAGCAGAGCGTTATGAGATGCTGTTTATGTGATTTTCCAGCATTCTCTGATCTTTTACTGACTTAATGATGACGATTGATTGAAGAAATTATATTTTAATCCAAACAGGGCTGTATGATGTTCCAGTTCACTGTTTTATGTGTGTATCGCTTGATTTGTTGTACTTTGCTTTAACAACTGCGGCTCGCTGTCTGGTTTTGGCAGAGGTGATGAGAAAGAAGGAGGTGCAGATGCAGAGACCACAGAAGCTCTTAAGGAGAAGCTGCGTGGGCTGGAGGAGCAGCTGGCCTCTTCCCAGTCTGAGCTGGAGGAGCTGAAGGAGCAGATGCGCCTCGGGGTGCTTTCTGTGGAGTGCGGTGAAGGAGATCCTGCAGCAGCAGGTGCAGGGGCTTCAGACGACGGTCCGAGCCAGGAGGCGCAGCAGCTGAGAGCCAGGGTGGCGGAGCTGGAGGAGGAGCTTGCTAAGAGGCAGGGCGAGGCTGGGGGTCAGAGCGGCCCAGAGAGTGACACAATCAAACAGCTGACAGGGAAAGTCGAAGAGCTGCAGGCTGCACTGGCCCAGAAGGAGTCTCCGAAAGAGGAAGAGGAGGCAGAAGGAGGAGAAACAGTGAAGTGCCTTCGTGACAAAGTCTCTGAGTTGGAGGCAGCCCTGGCAGAAAGCAGGACGTCAGGGAACGAGGGAGGAGCAGCCGGGGACGGGGGTCAGGTTCGTCGCCTTCAGGAGCGCCTGGGCGAGCTGGAGGGGGAGCTGAGGAAGTGTGTTCCCCGATCGGAGCTGGAGGAGGTGCAGGTGACTCTGGGGCTCCAGTGTGAGCAGCTGGCGAGGGAGAGGGCAGATGTGGCCAGAAGGCTCAACGATGCTCTCCTGGAGCTGGAGCGGCTCAGGCCTCCACGTGGAGATGAGGAGGAGGAGGATGAGGAGGAGGAGGAGCGTTCAGAGAGCTCAGAGCGTTCAGCCATATCAGGTGTGCACTGTCAGTTATTTCTAGAAAGTCATTAGTTGATCATTCTGCTGTTTTCCGTTCATCTTGTCAATGACCATGCCTCTGTCCAATCAGAGCACTCCAGACGCAGCTTGGCGGCGGTGAGGGAAGAACTGGAGGTCGCCCGGCAGGAAGCAGCTCAGGCCCTGGACTGTCTGTGCGCTGAGCGGGAAGGCCGGGCGCAGGATGCCCTGCAGCTGAAAGACGCCGTGCCATTCTCCAAACATAAGGAGGCGCTGTCTGCGGTGTCGGAGCAGCTGGCTCAGACGCTGCAGGAGCTCCAGGAGGAGAAGAACCTTCGGGGCCAAGCTGAGGAGCAGGCGGCTGCACTGGAGGCCAAGCTGGAGGCCATGCAGGACGCTGTTCCCAAAGAGGAGCATGAGAACGTCAAGGTCAGCGGGGCTATATTAAAATACTAATGATCAAATAAAGTAGCATAGCTAAGTATATATATAGTATTCATCCACCTTGAGAGTTTTCCCCTTTAACTGCTCTTCAACATTGACTCATGGTCAATACATTTGGATTTTGGCTATTTTGGCTTTTATATTTGGACAAAAATGTGGATTTCAAATATATCAAGTATAATCCAGACTTTATCCGACACATGTGGCTTCAGCCTGAGTTAATCAAAGTGGGATTGTTTTGTTCTGAAGTGCTTTAATAGTCAGCGGTTCCTCACTGAGCTGTGGTGGCATCTTCCTACAAAAACATGGTACAAAAAGGACATTCTGAACTAAAAAGACAGAGGAGATTGTAAGATAATCACCTGGTTTGTCTAACACAGATGGTTTAAACCTTAATAACTGACACTGAAGCTGCTTTAGGAAGGTCAGGCTTTGCAGCTTGTGTGAACGTTTCCAGCTCTCCGGTCACGTTCATGAGCATCCTGCCATGTGATCGATGTTCTCAGACATACTGAGCAACATGGGGACCTGCTGTTTAAGAGCATCACTCATTGCTTTTGGAAATGTCTTTTCTGTGACTTGGAAACACAACAAGGACTTCCACTTGGATTCATTTTAGGACATTTGATCAAGAACATTAGTCATGTCTGTAATGAAATGCACGTCTGCTTTAGATGAATGCTGGACTATAGATATCCAATAAGCTGTGCATAAGTATATAAGTATATATATATTATACACACTGTAGGAGTTCACTTCACAGGTTGCTATAAGTGTTTAACTTGACTCTGCTCAGAATGTAATCATCCCTGTTATGTGGTAATCTGTGCTCCTCGGCTTACAGGCGGAGCTGCAGCGCTCCCTGCAGGCCAGCGAGAGCAGTGCAGCGGCAGCTCAGGACGCTCTGACTGAGAAGGAGATGGAGCTGAGAGAGCTGAAATCCCAGAAGGCCGCTGAACAGGGTCTGATCTCTAAGGAGGACCACGAGGCTCAGCGGCTCTCTCTGCAGGCTGAGATCAACGCCATCACGGCCCGATTCAACGATCTGACTCGCAAACATGAGAAGACCTGCACTGAGGTGTGTGTGTACCCACTCGAGTGTGTTCTTGTGTCTGTCTTCAGTCCTTTCTAATGTCACTAAAGCCAAATTAGACGTTATTGTGTCTCCCACAAAGTGAGCTCTGTTGCATGAAGGCCTCTTTCCTGCTTCTACATTATTCATATGCACTTCCCTGGTCAGGGCCTCCCTCTGTTCCACTGATCCTCTCTACCTGTGCTTACTGATGGACTGAAGTCGTGCTGCATGTGCACTGTAGCCTCCCGATCGCTTGAAAATGTCCTTTTCCTTCAGCTGTGAAGTGGCATTCAGATATAAATACTCTGTGAACTAGATAACTGTCTCTGTGATGCCGGGGGGGCGAACACGGTGGTTATTAAAGGGTTTCTTTTCACATGGAGAACGATATCTTAAAGGAGAAGTCATTTATTATGACTGAAATGTGGCCTTTTTGGAACTCAAGTCCAAAAATCAGATTTAATTTGGGCATTCACAAACACCAGCATGTGAATTAGCATTGGTACCTGAGGTAGCATTGTTTATTAACTGTTTTTGTAGATATCATTTAGATTAATATATTCATGCTATGTGCTTTAACTAAATCAGGAAACACAGTCATGTATAGTGTGACACGTCACCACAGGAATCTAAACTAGGAGCTGAGATAGCAAAGGAGTGCACAATCCTTCCTACATGCACATAAAATCATCTTCATAAATGTTATGTATTTGTACCGATTCGAGGGAGGCACCCTGTTGAATCCAAAATCAGTTTGTTTTCCTCTAAATGCAAGTTTTCTGCATGAGTCTGTCCGTTCTAACCGTCTCACTAACTGCACTGCTAACGTCGACACCTTGGTCCACCTCCACCTTCACACAAGTAGAAAGTATCTGAGCTGAGGATAGACAGCATGTTCTTAGTGACAGGATGCCACTGGTGGTTTTACTGGTCTAGGTGTTCCAGGTGCAGAGGGAGGCGCTCTTCAACAAGAGCGAGCGGCAGGTCGCAGAGTCTCAGCTGGTCACGGTGCAGCAGCAGCTCAGTGAGCTACAGGCCCAGTCCAGCCACATCCAGGAGCTCCACAAGGGCATCCAGGAGTCCCAGGGCCTGGTCAAGGAGAAGGACCGCAAGGTGACGGACTGCAGAGTGTAACTCTGACTGCTTCTGCTGAAGAAATATATCTGCAAACTGATCTGATGTTCGTGTGCAGATAACGGAGCTGTCAAAGGAGGTGTTCCGGCTAAAGGAGGCCCTGGGGGCTCTTTCACCTCCTCTCGGCATCACCTCCTCCTCGTCTTCTTCATCCGTCCATCACGGTAACCCTGGACAGCAAGTGGCCCTGCAGAACAGGATAGGAATACTCACCCAGCAGCTGCAGGTGAGGAACGAGCTGCCAGCAGGGATTCACGCTGAGGCTGTTTTCACTGTACATCTATAAAAATGACCAAACGATATGAATACAGGCTCTTCACATGATAGTAAGAGATTCTGTTTCTGCAGGACTGGGAGAGGAAACACAAACAGGTGGTGACTGTATACCGCTCCCATTTACTGGCGGCTGTACAGGTCAGTCCAGCATGCAGATGACATTTTGTGGAGGGTTTCCGTGTGCCTGTGCTGCATGTCTGTTTGCTTCTCCTTCCTAATCAGCTGTTCTGATAGCTCACCACAGCAGTTTGTGCAGCGGTAGACCACCAGCCATCGCTATCGTCTGACTATTTAGTGAGCTTTGGAGCACAGATCTGCTCAGTGGGTGCGTTTTCTAAAACAACAACAGAGAGCCTGGACTGTGAACGGCGCTGCTGTTTTGAATTTGCCCCCCTTTGTGATGCAGACAATGAAGATCTGTCCACCATCTCCTCTTACTGCACAAAGTGGATGAAATTTCAGGAGCGTGCAGAGAAAAGGGGCTCAGCTCGGTGCTGTTCTATCAGTTTTATCATATTTCACTGCTGAGGTTTAGAAATTTTGAAAGCCTGCTGGCTTGGCTGGTTCCTTCTGCTGCTCTTGGCAGGTAGCAGCATACAGTTTGCTCTTTCTCAGTATGATTTAGGCTCTTCTAAGGGATAGCTAGTGGCTAATTTCTCTTTTCTGGTACATTTAGCGTTGGCCAGTGTAGCAGACAAGTCAGAAATTAAGCTGTGCATGGGTGGTCACTGGATCTTATTATTCTGAGATGCACAGGAGAAAGAGCTGCCATCTTATTGCTTAGCAGAAACAGAAACGTGGTGGGGTATACTTATCTAGTTCTCACAACTTGGCAAATTTAATAAGCTCATTCTCTGATTTGCATGAAGTTACAGCAAAGGAACTCATATCTAAAGCCGTCAAATACGCACAGAAGAGTAAAAAGTGGGAAACTTTCCTCTGAAATGTTGTAAAGTAAAAGTATAAAACAGCAGTGAATGGAAACAGAAGTGCTGACGTTTACATGTACGGTACATATCTACATTCCAGCAGCGGTTTGGCATTTATACCAGAAGATTTACAACATTTTCAGCTTTATTTTCTATCTTTTTCCCAACAGGGTCGTATGGATGAAGAGGTGCAGCATCTGTTGCTTCAGATCCTGAGGATGACGCAGCAGGGACACTGAGCTCTGCCTGCAGCTTCCTCTTCGTCTTCAGCGTTACGTAGCTGCTCGATCACAGCAGCCTGTGGGACCAGAATGGTAAAGTCCAAAAAGCCAAATACAACCCATCTGTGGTCAGACATACAGTAGCCGCATGCGTACCATATAGTAACCTAAACCACAGCCTTCAGGCTCGACCCAGAACCAAACGGTGAAGCAGCAGAACGTGGAGTGCCTTCCTTATGTGTCAGGGCTTCGTGGATGTGGATGCAGAGTGGTTGTTTAGACATCAGGTGAACTGACTGTGTGAAAAAGCCTCTCGATTTTGTATGACGTTCTTATAATAAAAAGGAAAACAATAGTTGCTCTGCTGTTGTTTCTGTGCTTTTTAACTCTGCTCATTCACAAGTACAGTCGAGGGAACACAGAACAACCTCCACGCTGCCTCGCGCATCTATTTCTGGGCGATAGAAATCTGAAGTCTTAATGTGGCTGACGCATGTGTGCATGGAAACGTCGGACAGCTGGGCATAACTGTGGATCTGCTACATGAGCGCACACGTATTTAAAGGTTCCATATGGTGGGAATCCATTTTTATTGTGGTTGAAGTCCCTCCACAACTAGTCAGCCTCCTAAATCAGTTCAACCGAGGTGCTATATAACAGCTAAATAATTATCCAGCCACCAGTGAAATTAACCATCTTTGCAGTATTTTGAGCTGAAAAAGGGAAAGAAACACTTTAAAGTTGAAAAGAAGCACGATATGGAACTTTTAAGACTTACAAATGACAAAACACAGCTTTAATTGACCCTATTTTTATTAATTTTATTGACAAAAAGCCATTACTGTTAATCACAGAAGTAAAGATCCAAGAAATTCCTGAGAAAGCAAACGGGAGCTCTACTCAAAATAAAAACTGCTTCAGATCATTGGGCCTCCACCAAACGCCTGACGGTTTTCCTCACCTCTCTGTGCACGAGGAGACCAGTGGAGGGCCTGATTCAACACAGACGTCGCCAAGGACGGAAAGAAAAACCGACAATCTGAAAAGCGAGTTTTAAAAATGTTACATTCGCAAAAATGGGGACGGAAACTTCATCCAAGGAGCAGAAACACACGAGCAGTTCACTGAAATGTATAGACACAGACGTGGACAATCGATAGAGTGATGCATTTCCCTGAGCCGGGACAAACAAAAAGGATTTAATTTCAAGTCCAGATCTCATCTTTGAGGTCGATCGCTGCAGAGGGTGGCTAACCTATGGCTGACTTATAAAGAAAAGTTCTTTAAGGGGATTCTAGCAGAAGACATCAATCAAGACCACGATGAGACGTGTTAAACATGATTTACCCCAAAACAAGAGCAGCTTACGTGACTGTTGACAAGTAAAAGAGCTTAATCATCCTGAAGTTTGTTCATTTGTTCATTGGCATGGCAAGAAAACTAGTCTTTCGCAAAGAGGAGCATAACTGCACATTATATACACTCTGACACCAACGCCGGTCAGTGTAGTCATTAAGGCACTGAAGTTGGAGGGCTGAGGACAAACAGGCGTCCACATACATGGAAGCAGACGTTGTTTAGTTTTCTGTCTAAACCCAGGATTCACCACAGTCTCGTCAGTGATGTTCACAGGCTTGTACGACACACAACTTCACCGAATCATGAGCAGCCCCACCAACACGACACTAAGACGGATATTATTGATAAATGTGATGAAACCGGTCCACTGGACTGTCTACATGGAGATATAGGGGGAGTCTTTTGTTTTTTTAAATGAGATTTGATGCTTAGGATATCCTGGAGAAACAGACAGAGGAACGTGGCTCTTTAATGAGCTGTTCAGAGTGTCTCCTCTGTGAACAGTCTTTACAGTCCAGTCAGACTGAAATGAGCCGCTGAACATGTGCCAGAGAGTCCGTTTTGTTCCGGCGATGTCCTTTATTGGTTGAACGAGTTGACTGGAAGCACTTCAGTATTTCAGGAGGACATTTCTTCACTGTGCATCAGATCATTTGTGATTTCCTGAGGTTGGCTGCTCTCCAAACTGTTTCATTTTTGACCTCGGTTGGGAATTATCCAGCTGTGGCACAGGACAAACTGTGGATTTTGGTTGGTTCGTTAGCTTAATAGCTGCATGCTGAGGAGTTCATGACGGATGAGGGATGTTTTGGTTTATCCTGGGAGCCAACAGGCAGAAGAAAGTTAGAAGAGGATGTCAGGTCCTCCCTCTCCTTCGCTGAACTGTCCGTGGAAAGAAAGTCACATCTTTCCTCCAGATGAATGATCATTCCAGAAAAATTAGCTCCAGATTCAGTTTTATGTGGCTTGCATGGGCATGAGAGTTCAGCTCTGGAACCTGGTAGAAGAAGAAGGATCATTAGTTATTCCTGACCGCCCCATGAGGTAGACGAGAACCTGCTGTGTTTCAGTGACAACAGGCATCATTATGGCACCTTTACATGCACTCCTACCCTAATGTGTACGTTTAGGAGTCTTTACGTACATCAAACTCCAAAGCACGGCTCATGCTTACCGTCCCATGCAGGGCCAGCCAGCTCACTGCTTCCTCCTCACCACCTGTTTGAGATGAAGCTCACTTTCTGCTGCCACGATAGGCAGCTCGTTCTTCAGATGGTACGAGATGAGGTGGCTGATGCTCTCAAACAACATGTCTTTGGTCCGGACCTTCATGGCGGAAAGCAAGAGTTAAATAAGTCCTAAATGGCCCCATGGCAGGGAAATGTGCAGCGTTACACCTGCAAAGGGGTTCGTGCAAAAAATAAGTAGAAAAATTAAACGTATACATAATTACTGTTGATATTGTGCAGGTTTGATCCATATGTAGAAGTTCTGATATTGCACAGATTCCTTTGAGTAATACTGCATAGGGTTACTGTACATGTAGGAAGACAGTCTTCCATGAGCAGAATGTGTTGATGCTAAATAAATACTAATAATGCACAGAAGTGTTTCTGTATGTAGGAACAGCATGTACTGAGGTTTAGAACAACTCACTGCTTTTATATGATCTAACATTAGCTTTACGGATGCTGATGGACTCACCACTCCCTCAGGGTCCACCAGCAGCAGGTGTTTGGGCAGACCACAGTGCATGCCCGTTAGCACATACTGCCCCGGGTTGGTGGTGCTCTCCCGGACGAGAAAGTCTCCGTCTCGGACCAGGAGCTTCTCAGCGTCTCGCCGGCTCATCCGGCTGTGGTACCAGGGCTCCCTGCGGAGCTGCTCCTCGTTCGGAGCCACGGGGGCTCTGCGTCGTGGAGGGCTGGGCCACTGGTCCTCCAGCACCCGGACGCCTCCACCGCCAGAACCTACAGATATACTGGACCCAGCAGCTCCACCACAGGCCTCGTGGAGCTTTAAAGCGTCCTCAAAGGGCCCTACAGGGACGATGGCGTTTCACAAACGTGGTCATTCTCAGAAAACAAAGTGAAAATGTCCTCACGTATCTGCTAGAAGAAGTCATAACTAATGTCAGGACTTACTCATGTCAAACAGGTCCTTCTTGGGACTGTCGGGTACCCTGGGTCCTCGGTGTCCATCAGAGGCCTGAGTGAGTGAGTCCAGGTTTTCCAGACTCTGGGTGTTCACATACTGATGCTCCTCATAGTCCTTACTGGCTGGTGGCTGACCATCAGCACACAGATAGCCGTCTGATGAAAGGAAAGAGCACAAACAACATGTCTGACTTGTGGTTGGATGATTCTTAGTGTGTTTATCTCTGTGGGCCTATAGAGGGCCTGTATAACGGATGCACCCCTCTGGGAAGTTGTCCACTTTTATTACTTCTAAACACTGAATCGTGGATGTTCTCCAGGATTTCTCTGGACTTGGCTGCATTCGTTTTACCCCCTCCTGCTGTCTAGAGGTGAGCCTACATCATGGTGCTGCCACCGCCGTGCTTTACGGTGTGTCTGCAATGATCCAGTGTTTAGTGTCCACCAAACACAGCCTATAGTCTGAAGGCCAAACAGCCCAGTTCCAGCTGACTTCAGAGTGTTTCTGGCTGACGTTTCTCGTGTCCATCCTGACCTGTGTTTTTAGAACCTCTCCATATAGTTGCTTGTAGTGTTCTCTTGTCCTCATGGTGTGGTTCTGTCCAGGAGTACTGACTCACCAGAGACTTCCAGATGTGGTGTCTTCGTGCTACCATCACTGAGACACACTCTCTGTACTCACATGATCTTCATTCACTAATTATGTGAAGTTGGTGCTTCACTGTAAAGAGGAATATTTATTAATATTTATTAATTGAAGGTAATTTGTAGAAATCTGTTTTCTCTTTGGTGTGAAAGCATCTTTTTGGGTGATTTCTTGCCTAAAAGCCAAACTAGAATGACCACAGCTCTATGTTGAGAAGATGCTATGCTGTATTTTTGTTCCTGTTGTTGCTTCAATTCCCAAGAATTCCCCCGTATGTATATGGAGGAAAGAAAATGAGATTATTAATAACCACTCCTATTAATGATGACGCACAACGAACCAAGTGGAAATCCTTCTGATGCAGAACGCTGTCCTGGTTCAACAGGAATCCTTATTGGATTAATGTCATCCTACAGAGTCCAAACAATAAGGTTCTGTTTGTGCTCGCGGTTCAGTGAATGTCACTGAGGCTCAAACGAACAGAAAAACAACGTCCATGTGCACATTTAACCGCAGATTCACACACACACGGATCTGACAAAGCCATGGAAAAAAAAACCTATTAGAGGTCAGTGTTTATCCTCATGAGGTGAATAAAGATAATCATGTTAGTGTTAATGTCCTTCCTCATTGATCTTGGCCAGTGTTGCCCTAATGTGGGTGATGCCATCTCTCTGGTAGCTTTGTGGTGTTTTGTTGTGAGAAGCTGAGGTCACTTTTCGTAGCTGTCATGGCTGTTTACCACCACAAGGGGTCTCACCTGAGCTGCAGCTGGTCTCAGTGTCCCAGTGAAGCTCATAACACAGCTGCCCCGGGGGGTAAGAGGCCTGATCCCTCCTGGCTGGAGATCCCATCTGCCGACACACAGCAGAAGAACACACAGCTTAAGTACATCTGAGTCTCAGAACCTGAACATCTCCTCTCTCTACCTGCCTAATGCAGTTTTGAAGCACTCTGAGGTAACATTAGCCACAGCGTGTCACCGGCTGCCAGGAGAAGCCCACGGGTTCCTTCACCTGATGGGCAGCAGCTCTTCACCTAATCACATCTGTCTGAGGCAATTACGGTGCAGGCGCATCAGGGAGACGTTCACCGGGTTTTATTTTCATGCTCCTGTGTATTAAGTCCATGTAAACAATACGGGCCTGGAGCAGCAGATCAGTCACCGGTGGGATGGGGGGATGTCAGAGGGCTCAGCCGGAGTCTGGACGGATCACACAGGTAGCTGATCCTGACCAGATGTTCTATTACAGCTGTGATACCATTATGTTGGAAGGTTGAGTTTGTGCTGATATATTTGGCCGTGCTGGTAAAACCGAAGGTGATTAGAGAGAGAAGGAACCTGCTGAGAACGCAACGTGGGATTCTCCTGTTCCAAGCCCTGCATTCTAAACCAGGGGGGTCCAGTCCTGGTCCTCCAGGGCCACAGTCCAGCATTAAGTAGATGTGTCCCTCTTCCAACACACCTGATTCCAACGATCAGCTCATCATCAAGCTCTGCAGAAGCCTGATAACGATCCCGATCATCTGAATCAGGTGTTGGAAGAAAGAAACATCTGAAACATGCAGGACTGTGGCCCTCCAGGACCAGGACTGGACCCCCTGTGCAGGACTGTGGCCCTCCAGGACCAGGACTGGACACCCCTGTGCAGGACTGTGGCCCTCCAGGACCAGGACTGGACACCCCTGTTCTAAACACATGGAAGTGAAGGTACAGGAGCAGCATCTGCACAATGTTCTTAAAGTATTAAAAGTTAAACTAGACCTAAACGTCTGGTCTACAGTGACCAACAGAACATGACTGAGGCTGTTCATGCTGATAGTTCTGCTGTAGTTCATCAAGTGGAGCTGATTTCTGCTTTTTATCCTTTTGTTAGTCCAGTGACTCCAAACAGAGGAGCTGAATGTGATCCGATCGGTATGAATCTGAGGACTAAAGTCCCTCCTGTTGTTGATTTAACCCTAAAAAGTCATTTAAAGTTAAAGTTACATATTAATGGGTTTCCCATGAAAATATTCCTCTTCTGCCTGAAAAGGCCCAGATGCAGTTCTGCAGCGCTGCCTTGCCTTCAGGAAACTGTAGATCTCTAATCTGAGTTTTTTGGGTTTTTTGGAGGCAAACATTGGATAATTTTATGAGCATGGTTCTCAGATATCTAGAGTGTACAATTACCTCATATCTGTTTGTGTAAATTCTCTACCTGAAAAGTAAGTACACTTAGGAAAAACATTTTTTAGACAGTTTTTATCTTCTTTTTTTTTTTTTTTTTTAATAGTTTTCTGCTATTTCACTGTTTTGCTAAAATACAGACAGTAACTGGTAAAATCACATTTTAAAAGAATCCTGTTAATTCACATGTTAACCATAAAACAGGCCAAAACAACGTCCACGTTACACCATCTCCACTACACTTGAATTTAAACAAACATTATATTACAGATTGTTGCTCCTATTTGAAAGACAATTTATGGATATTAACGGCTGAACGATGGTGAATTTTTTCTTATTATTTTAAACTTATTTTACAGATTTATCCGTAAGAAAATCAAAGAACAAATATACATGTTGACTGATAAAAAATAAAAGAATAAAAATACAGGCCAAAAGTGTACATGATGTCCAAACATCCAACATCTGTGTTAAAAAGAAAAAGTAATTAGATCTTGATGTTTTACGGCATTTAAATCAGCTCAAATTTTCACAGTTTCTTACAGGATTTAACTGTAAAATAATAATAATAATTATTGTTATTACTATTATCATTATTATAAAATTACACTTCTTTACTGTATTTAAATTTGCTAAAAATGTAATTATTTTATAGGTATTTGCCATTATTTGTTTTTACAGTTTGGGGGGTTTTTTTAATCCATTTTTTAGATATTACAGTATTTCACTTTTTTTTCTGGCACATTGTCATCGTATTTTTGTGGATGTTTTGGTTCTGGTGGTGTTCTGTGTGTGAGCAACACGATAGTTATACGATAGTTTTTCCTTAAATGCGGTCGAGTAACAGCATAATGTAGCATCAAACACTAATGAAGTGCAGGAAGCCCACGTGGGGCCACGTCCACGTTACTAGAAGTGACTTATCGTTGTTCCTGTGGCTGAGCCGAGACACTCACCTGAGCGGCCGTCTTGCTCTGTGGCTGAGTGTGGATGTGACCCAGCAGGGCTCCACTGGACCTGAGTCTGGAGTCCACCACGCCCCCGACCGGAGGCTCCTTCCCCGGGATGCTGTTGTAGTAATCATGCTCAGAAAAGTCCTCGTCCTCCCCCCACAGCGGCTCCTCCGACCTGGCAGACCTGAGACAGACAGAAGTGAGAGGATGCTGGAGCTATACGTCAAAACAAAGACAAGGACAAAAATCAGAACCACAACCTCTAACGCATTGATTCTTATTAGAATAATTATTCAGTTATGAATGTAATCGCTCATTATTATAATAATATTAATGAGAAGGGGAGGAACTCTGGGTTCTCAGGTGGATTTGGTCTGATCAAATGGCATCTCCACATCCGAAAGAGATCTATAGAAACCAGCCCAGAGACTCTTATAGATCCCCTGCAGTCGCTGCTGCTGCTGCAGGAAGGCAGACGCTGCATCAGAAACCAGAATAAAGTCTGCAGCTTGTCCTGCATCGCTGTGGCCACACTTCACGTTTGTCACACTGAGAGGAGATCTGTGTCGTTACGGTTTTAAAAGATAGACACTGAAGTAATCGGAGAGCAAATTCTCACATCTCCTCACGATAAATAAAGAAAAGTGAGAATTGTGCAGTGGATCAGGTTTCTGTGGCGACTAAGCTCTTCTGTGGACGGTGTCTTCAGTATTTAGGGTCGGACTGATGAGTCCAGCGAGGTAAACGTTCCCCACAATCCTACAATAATGACTTTCTTTAATTGAATTCAAAAAATGATAATTATGTGAATTATATCAGTAGTGTTTGGTTCCATTTGTTAAATGTTGCCGTAGACAGACGCCTGTTGTAGAAATAATCTGAAGATGTCTGCAGTACCATCGCAGCAGCGCCTTAGAGACGTCACCGGTGTCGAGGCCAGTGACAAACATTCCTCGTTGTCTTTTTGATCTTTTCAGAGGAGTCATTATAAGACGCTCATACAGCAGCTGGTACCTGTCCATAGAAGCCATGGTTTTAGGAGGACTGTGCAGATACTGTTTGAACTGCAGCTCGAAGGCCTGTCCGATGGTGCTGATGACGCTCTGGGCCAACCCGTCTGAGCACTCCAGGATGTGACACGCTGACGGACACAAAGAAAAAAAAACAGTCAGTTGGTTAAAGAAGCGGGAAAATTCCCAGCCGCCGTGAACGTGAGTTTAGCTGTAGGTGTGTTGATTGGATGGAGGTGGAGGGAACTGGGTGGTGGTCCAGTCAGGCTGGAGCGCAGATCAGGAGCTCCGGCCAATCATCTGTGACTGAGGACAGGAGAAAACTCTGAGTCTGTTTGCCCTGACGTGAGGGTTCACAGACTCAGAGTTGTCACTGAAGCTACCCAGGTGGGCTCTGGAGCTCCTCAGCCAGACGAAAGTCAACCATCTCCCAAAAACAGAGGCCACGAGGGATCCACCGCATCACGACACCAACACCAGGAGCCATAACAGGCTGAAGTGCAGTCCAGTAAAACAGGAGGAGTCAGGAAGAGCAGCTGGTTCAGGACGTACCTCTCTGATTCACCGGGTCTTTGGCCACATACGCCACATAGTCAGGTGTGTCCTGCAGCGTACAGGAGGGACAATGAAGGATGTCAGTAGATCAGAGCCCTCACTGAGTTACTGGGTGATGAGACTGGAGAGTAATGCAAACAGGCTGTTAACTCACCGTGTCTCCCCCAGACGCAAACGAGATGGACTGCATGGGATGATGAGCTATCACCTGAAGGAGACGGGTGGATGAAAGGTGGACAACAAATGTCATCAAGTCAGGTGACATGTGGACAAACAAGAAGCCAAATCCCAACAAGGACCCGGTTCAAGGTCTGACTGATGATGTTTGAGAAGCATCACCTGCGACTAACAGACTGAAGACTGAAGCTTGTTGTAGCTCATTAAAGGAGATCATCAGGGTTTCTCCTCAGAGCTTATTTCACTGAAGATAATCTGACCTCAGAACTTTTAAAACCTTTAATTTCATCTGTAGTTCTAACATTTAGCTTACCACCATGTTTGTTGACAATCACACAAAACAAAAGCAAAAGAAACTGAATGATAAGAATTTAAAAAATAAAGAAAATAATCGTTAATATCCTTTTATATCAGCAGAGGACGATGAGATTTAAGAAACGCCGTCACATTCATTGTGATCCTTGAACAGCGTCACTGAAGCACATCGAACCTGTCGCGTGGTTGGAATCAGCAGACTGAGGCCATCGATGGAGATGTTGACGGCGATGCTCATCCCTGCAAACCGCAGGTTGCTCTTCCCCATGATGGACTGCAGAGCTTTGTTCATCGCCTGCATCAAAAGAAAGAACACCACAAAAACTACAATCACAGGGATGTAACCGTGGATCCCAGAAACGTATGTAAAAAGTTAGTTTTACTGAATTTTACTTGTGAAATACATTAAAATATTAATAAAATGTCGATAAAATAGACTGATTTAGACATCTAGTGTAAAATAAACAAGATTATAAAATACACAAGCTTTTAAATGTGAATTCTCATTTTAAACTTGATGTGATCTAATATCAGCTGTTTGTTTTCATTCTTATTATAAGTATTTAAATAATAGCTGTGGTTTTACTTTTTTAAAGGTGAATCCATAATAATAGTAATAATAATAATGATTATAATAATAAACAATATTTATAGATCATTTCATAGATTTTACTGATAAACACAAAAATATTCTTCATCAAACAATAAAAAGTCCAAACAGTGAAATTAAGACAAGACGCTGTATTTAAATAACCGATCATCACTGTTGTTTCATGAGCTGCTGCTTGTTTTCTGTTGTTTCACAGGAAGTCCAGCTGATAGAACATCATCCTCCTTCTTTTTTTACTCCGTACAGTGAACAGACTCTATTAGTTTCCAGACAAACCGAACAACACTTTGCTTTGTGTTTCAGACCATCCAGTGCTGCAGCAGAACACTTCATGTGTTCACTGGTTACCGTATCGACACGCATACGTTGGTAGATTATGAACTTCCTGCTAACCTTCTTCCTCCAGGCTCCCTTTCCTCCTGGAACAGCTTCACACAGCCTGTTGATGGCCTCCCTGTTAGAACAGAAGAGGCTTCAGGTCAGACGGGAGTGAAACATGATGATCTACACATGAAGTGGATTCATGCTGTCTGTGGGAGAACATCTCATCAGTCCAGCGACAGCAACGTTCAGAGCTACAGACATCCTGCAGCACCACGATGACCAAGAACCTGAGGTCCAACATGGACACAAGCTGGGTTCCCTTC